CCCCTGGGGGTAGGATGGGGCCAAAATGGCCGATCAAAGTTTTACATAGGAATATATAGGAAAAATCTTCTGATGAAGAACCACTGGGCCAGGAAAGATGAAACTCATGTGGAATCATCCTCAGGTAGTGTAGATTCAAGTTTGTTCAAATCATGACCCCCGGGGGTAGGTGGGGCCAAAATGGCTGATCAAAGTTTTACATAGGAATATATAGGAAAAATCTTCTGATGAAGAACCACTGGGCCAGGAAAGATGAAACTCATGTGGAATCATCCTCAGGTAGTGTAGATTCAAGTTTGTTCAAATCATGACCCCCGGGGGTAGGGTGGGGCCAAATGGCCGATAAAAGTTTTACATAGGAATATATAGGGAAACCTTTTAAAATCTTCCTTTCAAGTACTTCAAAGCCATGCTTAGTGATATTTACAGGGAATCATCCTCAGGGTAGTGTAGATTCAAGTTTGTTCAAATCATGACCCCCTGGGGGTTAAAATTCAAGCCCCCTCCCCTACCCCCCCCCCCCCAGTAAACTTTCAGTTCTGATCTGATATGTGCTTTTTCCTAGCCAATTGCTTAGGTGAGCGATGTGGCCCCTGGGCCTCTTGTTATTATTAATAGGGCTTTTCGACTTTTGTCGAAAAGACCTATTGTTTTCGTCTTTTTTATTATTCTTATGCTGAACACTTTTTCGTCACGGATTTAAGGAGGGCCTTTTAAAATATACATTATATTTTATAACTATCTTAAAGAACATGCTAATGTCTGCTGTATGTAAGGTTTTGGACTTCCGGATACGTCACTTCCCGGTTCTACCAAAGAAAAACTAAAATTCTTTGAAAAGCTTAATCTTTCTTATTTTTAATGCCAAAATCTCGAAATAAAAAAAAGACGAATTCTGGGAACCAAGTCCTATCAAAAAGTGCGAGTAAGTTATTTTTACCACAGATAATTTTTTAGATATAAGACTTCAAACATTGAAGAAGGGGGATGGAATTTTCAAAAGTCATAATTAACAGTTTTAAATTTTTTTAATCATACAGATATGTTAAAACTATTTAGTAGAACATATTCTGTAAGTTTCAAATTGAGGCAAGAGGAACTTCCGGTTTTATTGGACGTTGAAAATTGTCTAGGGGAGTTCTATGTTAATTTGAAATCACGCATTTCACGTTTTCTCTTAAAGTAATCAAGATTTTCTTGTGAAATTTTAAGTTTAGAATGACCTTAATATTGTTCCGACCTGAAAATACTCTAAAATTAAAATTCGGCAAAATAAGGGATTTTAAGGGGCTAATATTGAAAACAGACCTTTGCTTATAACTTTTTTATTTTTCAATGAATTTTTAAATAGTTTTCAGATTTAAGTTCAGCATATAGAAAACTGTCTAAATTATATGGTCTGTGGAGTCACTTTTTGACCCCTTATAATAAGGAGTTACAGAGGACAGAAATAACCAAAAATTCAATTATTTTAAAAATTATAAAGTGAGAGTTATCTCCCATGGAACATAATTTTGAAGACTTACATACTGCCTAGGTCTCAAGTTTGGTGGGCATATGACGAATACTTCCGGTTTTATGAATATCTGAAATTGTCTATGGGAATTCCTATGTTAAATCGAAAATCGCTTATGTTATGATATCTCCTAAAGTAAGCAAGATGTTCTGTTGAAAATAAAGATATCCAGGTACTGTGACCCCTTCTCAACAATAAAAGTGTTTGAAAATGAAATTCGGAAAAATAAGGGATTTCTATGGGCTAACATTGAAAACAGACCTTTGTCTGTAACTTTTTTTATTTCTCATTGAATTCTCAAACAGTTTTCAAATTTGTTTTTAGCATTATGAGTACATTCTTAAAAATATGGTCTGTGGGATCACATTTTGACCCCTTATATGAGTTTTAGAGATCTGAAATATTGTATTTCTAAGTCTTTTCAAAAATGATGATGTAAGAGTTATCTCTCTTTGTAGACCTGTTTGGAGTCTAATATGCCCTCTAGGTTTTAATTATGGTATGCATATTAGTATTACTTCCAGTTTTATGAGTCTCTTAAAATTGCCTATGGGGATTTCTATGTTAATTTGAAATCATGATTGTTCCATTATCACAAAAGGTTGGCAAGCAATTCTCGTGATATTTCACATGAATATTGACTGTAGCGTTGTAAGGTCATGAAAATAAAAATCCCTAAAATAGAAAGGATTTTAGGGGTCAGTACAGAAAAGGGCTTTTTCTCTGTAACTTTTTTAATGCTCAACCAATCTTCAAACTAATTTTGGTATTACATCAAGCATAAAGAGTACAGTTTAAAAAATATGGGCTGTGGGGTCACTTTTTGACCCCTTATAGGAGTTTTAGTTGATTGAAAAACAGTACATTTTCGTATGTGTTTAGTAACCATGAAAGAGTTATGTCTCTTTGAGTAGACACTGATGTACAAAGAGAATTTTTATGTTTCCAATTAAGTATAGACCTCAAAAGAACTTTCGTGATTTTGTAATATATGTATTTTTTTTACAGTGTAATATTGATTTTTCTTTTAAGATTTTTTATTTTAAAGGATCGAAAAGCCCTCCATTTTTGTT